TTACTATTTTATCTAGGCAAAGGCACTAATAACCTTCATAATTTTCTGTTGTAAATTTAATTTGTTTTTTTTTTTCCAGCTACAGAAAAGCAAAAAAAAATTAATCCCCAGAATTTTCTTTTTACCTTCTTCCCCAACACAGTCTGAGACTCATAAATACTTTGCATCTATACTTCTAGCCGTCCTCAATCAACATCTTTGAAGATCTTAATCTATACTGAATAAATTATTGCAATTTATACTTTTTTTCCAGTGGAGAAAGACATCTGTGCATCACATTTATGGTTAACTCAAAACCACAACAGTCAAAGCTACCTCTGTGGGGAAGCCTCCATCCCCCAATTGAGCACAGCACTCCAAAGATATATTTCAGGGAAATTTCTCTGACTGATGTGCTGATCCCTCAGTACATTGGGAATGGCAATTACAATACACAACTTGGTTTCTTTGTGTCTGACTGACCTCCTAAATTGTATACATGGGACTAAATAGTACTCAGGACAGGGCAGGAGGGATACTCAGTACTCTGTAAACTGCCTTCACAAATTTGGTTTTACAAGGGCAAATTAAGCATTGTTAATATTTAATTAGGATAAAATTTTCCTCCAAAGAAAAGGAAGATAGAAGGGGAAAAGATACAGAAATGTGTGATGGAGAACCAGGGCCATCCTCTGCCACAGAAACAACCACAGCCACCATCACCCCTCACCAACAAAACAAATTAACTTTTCCACAGGCTTTGCTCCTCTGTCTCCTCCCTTTAATGGTCCAAATAGATTTACAGAAGTTGACATGAGTATGCTGCAGAGCAGAAGATATTAAATAATTATATTCACAAAAAGTTTTACATTAGTTTGAGGAGCTCTACCACCACTAACAGGATTTTTTTAAACAAGGTAAAATATAAAAAAAAATACAGCTCTAATATGAGAGTATAACCTCATATGAGAGTATGCCAGGTTTGCAATTGGATCTGAGAGAAAATTAGTTATTCTGATTTAACAGTTAATTATAAGCTCCCATTTGCCATGTAATTCAGAAGCCTAGAAAAATGAAAACTGATTTTAACAGACTGCTCAAGTTGTTAAATGATATGTTGGCTTTATCCAACTTATTTGCAGTGTGTTTACAGCACGTGAAGGATCAACACAGTTTACAGGACTCAACATTTCCAGTGCTGCACCTATGACTATAAATTTGATGGCACTGATGATGCTGAAGGCTTACATTAGGTTTAAATAGATGAAGGATCCTTGATTTAGAGTATCTCCGAGAGGAGAGGGAACTAATAGGTGTGGTAATGGGAGATGTAGCACTATTTTTAAACTTGACAGGAGACATATTAGTTGCTAGTTCCCTATTATAGAAAAAGTCCCAGTCTGGTAATAATGGGCTGGCATTTTGAAATTCCTCCGATTTATTAGGAATATGATGAGAAATGTGCTCCACACGCTCTGAGCTTCAGACCAGTTTCTGTACAGAAGGTAAGAATTACAATGTGTATTCATGGCCAGTTTAAAGAGCATATGTGCTCACTTTTTAAAAGTCACAAATATTTTAACTAATTTTATTTGAAAGTCACAGTCTACAGTGCATATTAGCCAATTGATTAAAAGACAAAGCATTTGCTAGAAGCCATCATTAGTCACTCTGTGAGGTAATAAAAATCAACCCACATCAAAAAGTTGATTTGTTTTCCCCAGCAAATTTGAAGTAGCAAAATGCTAAACGAAGACCAAATCACTCTTGTGTCAACAGAACTTGGGATTGAGGAATTAAACTGCTCTTATAAAAAAGCTGGAACTGCAAGAGTTAATTTAAGCATTAGGCTTGGTAGCCTGAGATGTTTGGCAGCAACACTTGAGTGGGCACAAGCCAGATTTCTTTTGCAGTCAGAAGGTATCCCTTTGAATATGTGATGAAAGGATCTGCTCCTTCAGTCACACCTTGAGTCCATGGAAAAGGATGCAACGAGATCTACTGTCAAATGGAGTTCAACTGTGAAATCAGGGAGGGGACCCACACACAGGAGCAATTTGCAGGGCAGGTGGCCAGAAAGCCAACTCTGTCCTGAGCTGCATCCAAAGCCGTGGGGGTAGCAGGTCAAGGGAGGGGATGCTGCCCCTCTGCTCCCATGAGAGCCCAACTGCAGAGCTGCATCCAGCTCTGGGGTCCCCAGTGCAAGAGAGATGTGGACCTGGTAAAGCCAGGCTGGGAGAGCTGGGGGTGTTCACCTGGAGAGGAGAAGGCTCCAGGGAGAGCTCAGAGCCCCTGCCAGAGCCTAAAGGGGCTCCAGGAGAGCTGGAGAGGGACTGGGGACAAGGGATGGAGGGACAGGACCCAGGGAATGGCTTCACACTGAGAGGGTTAGATGAGATATGAAGACAAAATTCTTCCTGGTGAGGGCTTGGCACAGGGTGCTCAGAGAAACTGTGACTGCCCTGGATCCCTGGAAGTGTCCAAGGCTGGGTTGGACAGGGCTTGGAGCAACCTGGGATGGTGGAATATGTCCTGCCCACAGCAGGAGGTGGGAACAGGATGGGCTTTAAGATCCCTTCCAACCCCAAACCATTCTGTGATGCAAAGTTCACAAGACATTTCAGTACAGTTACCTCAAAATTTATTTCAACCATGATGGAAAATGGACTTCAAAAGCCAAATGTACCTGCCATGTTTTTCACCTTAAGACCTGCAACTAAAGGAACATAAAAAGGGCAATCATGAGGATTTTGCCAACCTATGAAATCCTTAATCAAGGGAACAGAATAAATGATCAAGTTATTGTTTATGAGATGCAACATTTAAGTACTGGATCCCTACAGCAGTGTGGGTATGATACTTTAAGTAACTTCAAGGCTGAAATGTTACCTGTACAAAAACCCATCAGTTTTAAATAACAAGTACTAAAATTCAACAGATGAAATTTTTTGGTCTTTCACTCGCCCAACTCTTTTCAGTTCAGGAGAGAGCTGAACCAGGGCTTCATGCTCTGAAGCCATAAAAACAGAAATACCTCTCATTAACTTCTGTGCAGCCAGCACCACATTATGGCTTTTAGAAACCCCTCAAAAGCTCTCAGAGTCAATAGCAAACATCACACAATACTGAATGAGGGCTTCATACAGCACTAAACATATTTTTCCATGTTAACAATATTTATATCTTATTTCCAACTTGACATGCAGATGACATGTTACCCACATCAATTTATAAATCCAGCACAATAGGAGTTGCCAATTTGATTTAGTGGTGCAGCACCCTGTTTCCTGTAAATAATTTCCCTAGCAGGCTTTGACTAAGCCCTCTGAAAGAGCTCTAGAAATATTAAAGGCTCCAGTTTCTGGCCAAAATGCTTTCTGACAGCTCACTGCAAGTGTTCCCCAGCATCTCTGCTGACCCAAGAATAGCAAATTTAATGACTTAAGTCACTTGTTTCTATCCTCTTGTGTGCAGAGCTTGCAAATTACTTCAAGGATTGGCTTAAAGCAACGAAGAAAAGAGTATTCATACATTTTATTTTACTTCACAAGTATCAGAAAGTTAAGGGGTCTGCCTCCTCCACTGGGAAGTATCTATGGATACACACATTGCAGAAAGCTGAAAAACACTGACACGAGTTAAATAAACATGTCTGGTATCATCTGCCAATTGAAATGGTGAGCATTGCAGGAAATATTTGTTTTCCATGAATAAAAGCGATACACAAGCATCTCAAAACAATCTGTTTTGGAAGGTTATTTTGGTTGTTTTGTAAACAAGTTTAGGTTCTGAGCTGATGTTTTCAAAACAGATACTGCAAAGCGAATAAATATTCATGTCTGGGGGAGACCCTAACAGACATGAAACAAGTGTGTGGCCCTTTTTAACAGTGCCACAGATAAAGCAAGGCAAGGACACTCAGAGAGGACATCAAGATGTAAATTTTTTCCTTGAAGTTTCTCAGATGGCTGAAAAGTGCCATTAAAATCATCATGCTCAAAAAAGCCTGGGCCTTAAAAACTTGGCTTTTATTGCACATAAGAAAATCTGGCTACAACCCACAAACAGCACTGTAGTCTTTAACAAAAAGAATTAAAAACAGGGATTTTTTTTAAATTTGACTTCATTATAAACCATGAATGTATCAGTACAACTCATTTGGGTTTTCAGCTTTAGGGTCACCTGGGAATCATGTAAAAACTGTCTAAAAACCATTTACTGTGCTTGAGCAACTGGCCACACTCACAAAACCTTTCTTCAAAACCTGAAAACCCTTATCAAAATAAAACATCCTGCTCAACAAAACCAAAATTATGCTGTCACTTACCAGCTTCTTCCACTTGTACCACAGAACCTACACAACCTGGAACACTCCCCCCAACATAGTGGTACAACACTAAGAAACACTGAATAGTTTGGGTTTGAAGAGACCTTAAAGGTTATCTTGTTCCAACCCTGCAGCCAAGGACACCTTACACTAGAGCAGACAGCTCCACACCCCACCCAGCCCGGCCTTGGACACTTCCAGGATTGGGAGTTCAGGAACATTAAGTATGGTTTATAATGGCCATGACTACAGGGGAGCAGAGAACAAAACATATTCACTGCAGGGCTCAGAGCTGAAGGAACTATTTTAAGGTCATTACTGGAAGATCCAAACTATTTAAAGTTTAGCTGGCTATTAGTAGGTGCTCTTGCTGACACTGCTGATAAAAATCCCAGAAATACCATTACAAGGCAATGCAAGAAACCGCTCACACCTCACACACGCAAGGTCTGTGCTTAATATTCCCACTTCTTCATTTCAAAGCCACAAATATCACAGCCTTTGCCAGCAAGTTAAAGATCTGTTCTGACTCCTACTAAAGGCATCAGGGTTGTGCAGTTACTCTGGCCATTGGGAAATTTTTGGCAATACCCCCAGTTAAGCATTCACAGCAGCCATAAGCAGCTCTTGGAGGCCTGGAGAACAACAGCATATGGACAGTTTGGAAAAATCTCTGTAATCAGGGCAGTGTTACCTCAAAACAGTGTTCCACGGGCAGTCAGGCTCACAGCAATGCTACAGCTGAAACTTCTGGTTTTTTTCCGTGTACCTGGACCTGTTTGAGTGGATCCAAAGGAGTTCATGAGGATACTTCAAGGGCTGGAGCCCCTCAGCTCTGGAGCCAGGCTGGGAGAGCTGGGGGTGCTCACCTGGAGAAGAGAAGGCTCCAGGGAGACCTCAGAGCCCCTTTCGGTGCCTCAAAGGCCTTCAGGAGAGCTGGAGAGGTTCTTGGGACATGGGCCTGGAGGCACAGGACACAGGGAATGGCTTCAGACTGAAGAGTAAGGTTAGACTAGAAATTTGGAGTGCTTTGGTTATAGAGATGACATTAAACCTCTATTTAAATCACCTATTTATGCTGTGATTTTCAAAAATTGCTTTCATTCAATGGATCTGAAGCCAAGAGAGGTGTTACACAGGCCTTAGTACAGAGTGAATGATTCAGATCTTTCTGAATATCTTCAGATCCCATTTTCCCATCAGTGTTTTAGCAGAGACTAATCCCATAAAGCTTTGTAAGTGGTAGATACTTGAAGGTGCTTATGAAACTGATTTAGCCCCACATTTAAGGCAGAAATAAATCTGGAAGACACTCTCCCCCTTTGACCACCGAAGATAAAATATAATTATGAGGGAGGGGAAAGGAGAGGAAGGAAAATAATAAGTTCCCTTCACAAAATATACACGTGGAAAAAAACTCAGATGGGGTACCCAAAATAAGCAATACCATGCAAATGTTCTGAGAAAAGAGAATTATTTCCACCTATCTGCATTGATCACACAAACACTTGCTTCCACTGACAAGAACATAATCCAAACTCTGCCTGTTCATCTCAAAGTGGTTATGAAGCCATGTGTGAGGTGCATTCAACATCCTCTAAGATGAACAGAATCTGTTTTGCATCCCAATATCCTTGGAGAGAGCAATATTCATGCAAGATGATTCAAGCTACTCTTCAGAGCTGCAGCACTCTGCCTCCCCATTGAAGCTCTGAATGAGCATGGGCAAGAGAGATCCATAAACCATTTTTCCTAGGTCTATAGACAGTTGGTTTCTTAGCACTCACGGAAACATCTTCTTGGGCATTAACAGAATGACTTAGAAAGAAAAAAAGTCTGCTTTTTCTCTTTAGAGCTGAGTTTCTTTTCAAGCTGTGTAACACCACTTGATATTTAGTTTAGCTACTCAACCAAGCATCAGCCTTCAATGTATCCAAGGTGCAGAATGGTTGACTAACACAGACCATTTCACTTGTTCGGGCTTATTTACAAATACCACTTACATACTGCTGGCATTTATAATGACACCTGGGATGTTGCTGACACACCACTACGTTTGTAAAGTTGGAGTCTACAGGCACAGTGCATTCTAAGAAACGTGCTGGGGAATACACACAGCGTTTCCTTTGACTGTAACTAGAATGGTTACTTTGACTATATCCTATCTGAATAGGGAAAAAAGCTTCAGAAACAAGCTTTAGCAAGGTTAATCCCCCACTGATTTTCTTATCACTCAACACTATTTCACTCAATTACTTTTGTCAATGATTTTCTCAAAAAAACGCCTCCTGACCATATTACAGGGTTGCTTAAATTATACTGCAGAGACACATTCATGCATACACAGAACTTCATGTGTTTCTTACTACTGTTGCCTACTGAGTTGTTATTCCAAAGCCCACGACCTCTAAATACCACACATCAGTCCTAGAAACCTTGACACAGTGTTTGATGACAGAGAAATACTTGGTTTGGTTTTGTATATATACAGCCAGACTATAAGGCATTTACCTTACAGAGGAGGCAAAAATGGAATATCGATGATGTATTCAACTTTGCAAAGCCAAAGGAGTTGTAATTTGTATTAACATGTCCCAAGCCTTGAAGTGTCCACAGCCAGCCTGGCTGGGGCTTGGAGCAGCCTGGGACAGTGAAAGGTGTCCCTGTCCATGGCAGGGGGTTGCAACTACATCACTTTTAAGGTCCCTCACAACCTAAACCATATTATGATTCTAAAACAAAACAAAACACTGTGTACAAGCTCAAATTACTAGCAATTTGTAAGAAAAAGCTTGGATTCTTACACAGAACTAATAATATAACTTGTAACCAAACAGTGTCAATTGTTCTAAATATGCTTGAAACAACAAACTGCTAAGTAATTATTCTATCTCCTCCCTCCAACCCCAAAATCATACTACACCTTCTGCCTGGGGTTTTCCCATTATTAACAACAAGAGGTTTCATTTATCTGCTTTTATCCAAAAATGTTGAAGAGCTTAACAAACATTAATTAAACCTCGCAACACTCCTGTGAGGTAGGTAGGTATTGTTATCTCTGCTTTACAGATGAGAAAACCTGAATTAAAAATTGTGATTTGCACCATTTCCCAACAGTAGTTTTACAGTAAAGCCAAGTGTAGAAGAAAGGAGCAGTGACTTGTATGTCCCTACTCCCAGCCACCACAATATGCATTCTCTTTCAAACCAGCAGGACTTTACTTGACACTTTGCCACACATGAGAAAAATATTCTGAAAAGCAGCATTAATTTATCATTAGCATCATCCCTTCTAAGAAAATACAGACAAATACATCTTTTACCCAGATTGTACTTCCATTATTTCATTATGAAAATGAGACAAAATTGTATCCTCTTCATCTGGATAGCTGATGAATTTCATCTTCAAAAGGAAAATCCACACTTCTTGAAACCATATGAATTGTTTCTCAAAAAACTGAATCCCTGATTTCCTCTTTTCACTTATGTTTCTTAATTCCTAAGTTCTTCCCTACTCTCTTAGCTTCTTTTCTCACTACTTCATGTTGTACTTTCCTTAATCCTACATCACCTTTTTCTTCTTCTTTATTTTTTTTTAATGACAAAACAAAGGATTTACTTACAAACAGCACATCAACTACTACCTAGATGGGTCACATACCAATTTTTCCTGTCTCAAACTAGTCTCGCTTCCAACCTGTGTATGAACAAATCCTCCATCTGACAGTCCATAAAATCAAACACTCTTCTCTTTGCCCATTCTGCCATATTCCTCATTAGAAAACCTCCAGTCATTTCTTCAGTGTTTCAGAAGCAAAAGCTTCACAATTCTCTTCCTTTATTTTCCTTGTCTAATTGCCAGTTTCACTTCCCTGTCTATTTCCACGAATTTAACAAATCTGTCCTCTGTAAAAGTGGCCATCTCTGATGTTTTGTAAACTAAGGTAGCACAATAAATGTTTCTGAATGGACATGGAGACAACTGAAGTTATAGAAACTTATTTTAAAATACAAGTTGAAAAAAGACTTTTTTTTTGACAAAACAACTGTAAAATGTTTTTGAAGTCATATGATTTTTCTATGACTTGATTTCTCTTATTTTAGAATCAGCATGAAAAGTTAAACTAGACTCTTTTTTTTAAACCACACAAGCTAGCACATCTTGTTTGTACTGCTTGCTCTAATGAAGTGAGCCTACACTTGCCAGTGCACAGTAAAAATAGGTAGCTCTGTTATTCATATACACTGCAAGCAGCATCTTGCAGGCTCTGAGAACTTGTTCTCATCATATGGAGGCTGCAATAAATGTTCAGCCACTGTTTTCTCCTTCAGCTCTCAAAATTACAGCTGTATTCTTTAAGCATTACATGTGATTTCTTGCACTTTAAAGCTTCTGAACTACTTGAATTGCAAGACGCAGAAGCTCTGCCCACAGACACTTTCTTGCTCCCACTTATTTCATGCTACAGCCAGAAAAGTACCAAATGCTACTTGTTCATGGGATTTGCTGGTCAGGGGATACAGCATCCCCCCAGACACACTGCAGCTGAGCAGGATCTGTATCTGCCTCTGCAGCACACAATCCCCATCTACTCCTTTTTCATCACCCCTTAAAGGTGACCTTTCAGAAGAACCTGCCATACGAAGTATTTTATCCTGACAGCCTGAGAGAGCTAGGGGTGTTCAACCTTAAGAGGAAAAGGCTCAGGAGAAAGCTCAAAGCCCCTTCCAGTACTTAAAGGGGCTCCAAGAGAGCTGGAGAGGGACTTGGGACAAGGGATGGAGGGACAGGACCAGGGGAACAGCTTTACACATGGACAGAAGGCAGGGTGAGATGGGATATTGGGAAAGAATTCCTCCCTGTGAGGGTGGGCAGGCCCTGGCACAGGGTGCCCAGAGAAGCTGTGGCCACCCCTGGGTCCCTGGAAGTGTCCAAGGCCAGGCTGGACAAGGCTTAGAGCACCCAGGGATAGTGGGAGGTGTCCCTGCCCACGGCAGGGGGCTGGAACAGGATGTCCCTTCTAAACCAAACCATTCTGTGATTCTCTAGGTCTAGGAGCATGAAAAACCAGTTTAAGGAAAATTACAATTTTCCAACAGTTTTCCGCTGTTTAGTTGCCAGCACATTATTTAAGTTCACAATTTTTACATTATTTCAGAACAAGTACAGAAATAAATACGCTATTTGTTGCTATTTGTTTCCATTTTGAGATGACTTGCTAAAATTTTCTCAGTTTCTGCATGCACAAAAGTCAGGCATTATTTAACCTCTGTAGGCACAAAAGGTTGCATTTTTCCTTTTTAACATCCACTAAGGTAACCAATTCCTCTGCATTCAGCCACTGAGAGAACCATCTCAAACCCTGCAGAAACTTCAGATATGCAGCAGAGATCAGTAAGTCTCATCACGAGAGGCTTCTCAGCACATTAATCTCACTCTCCACTACTGTCATTTACTTCTTGCTTGATTCCTAATGTTTTGGGCTTTCATTTTTTTTTTTTTTAAATTTTGGTGGATTCTTATCTCCAAAGTCACAAAAACTGCCACAGAGCAAACACTCTCCAATGCTTAAAATCAGGTTGGAACCCACAGAAAATTAGTTTCAGTGAGACTCCTACTCTTTTGTGTTCTCCCCTTCAGATATATCAACCCTGTCTGCATTCTAAACAGTCTCTTTCCCCAAACAGTTTTATGGTGAAAGAATAGAAGATAAAATTGCTTCTGAAACCCTCTAACAATGAATTTTTTAACTTTTTCTTCCTTTAAAAACCCATTTGCCTCCATAATAAATGCTTTGTGAGGAATATAATAAATTACCCCTCTCTGTGGCGTATGAAAATCTCAAGTGAAGCTTGGTTCTGCTCTTCTGAAGCCCCTCACTGGGCACCACCAGACCAAAGCTCGAGCACGAGGCTTTTGGGCATCAGAGCAACACCGGGAACATCAGACGCCGAAGCGTG